CCAAGGTCTCTGATGGGTCATTACCGTTCCGTCTCCACACAGTGCTGGGAGCGATATTACCCTGGCACCGCGCTGCTGTGAGGGGGGTCTCAGACGGGACCCCGCCCATCAGACTGCGATCGCCCCCCAGTGCCGTTATTCGGCGCTGTACGGGGTTGGGCCGAGCTGGGGGCCCCGGGCCGTTACTCCCCTCCCCCCCCCCCCCGACACCTCTGGCGGTCGGTGCCGCGCGTCGGCAGCCACCTGGGCAGGCCGCCCCCGAAGGCCACTCAGTGCCGGCCGACCGAGTAAGCTGGCCCGACCTTGGGGCCGCGCCGCGGTCGCCCCGGGCACTCCGCCGGCTAATGACTGTTTTTAACCGAGCGCTGTCCATTTCCCGCCTGGTCGACACTGGTTGGTGCTCAGTGCTCACGCTGCCGGGTCGGGCCATGGCGCAGGGCGTGTCTGGCCGTGTCTCGCCGAGCCTCCTTGTCTCAGTTCGGTACCGGCCGCGCCCTCCACAGCCTCCCAAGCATAACCCTTACCGGACGCAGACCGGTCCGTGCACAATGCTCGGGACCCTCGTGAACATTGCATTAGGCCACAGGGTGTGTTTTATGGCTGCACTCAAAAGTGATAGTCTGTAGAAGAGCGACTCTACCCGCTGACAACAGCTGGAGACACCGCTATCCCCCTGTCCTTATCTGCACCTTTAGCAGAAACTGCCCAATGGCGGAGTTATCTGGAAAGCAGCCAACTGCGCATTTAGGGAGAGTCGCGACTGGTTCCCATATTGTGCCCGTAATGTTGACACACCGAACTGTTGTGAGTGGCGTAGTTGAAACTTCGAACAGCCAGCAAGGGTAGCTCGCTGACTACTGAGCTCAGGTGTGCATACGGTTAGAAGCGAGAGAGACCTTCACTGTGCACCCAGTGTCAGCGCGGCCGGACCTGCGGAGGTCACCGTTACTCTGTGGCATTCAGCGGAGGTGACCCAGCGACAGGCCGGCCGGTGACGGACAGAAAAGGGCCGGATACCTACATATTGGATGACTTGCAGCACGAGTAGATGTCAAACTCGCACCTGTCATGCGCCTATTGAATCGGCCAACTGCGCAGTTGCGGAGAGCCGTCACCGGTCCCCGTAATGTGCCCGTAATGTTGAGGCAGAACGTAACTTTGAGTTTTTGTTTCAGCATCATGATTGCTTCTGTTTCACGCATTTCTCTCTCGCTCTCGCTGTCGCTCACTCACTCTCTCTCTCTCTCTCTCTCTCTCTCTCTCTCTCTCTCTCTCTCTCTCTCTCTCTTTCTCTCTCTCTCTCTCTCTCTCTCTCTCTCTCTCTCTCTCTCTCTCTCTCTCTCTCTCTCTCTCTCTCTCTCTCTCTCTCTCCTACATCAACGTTCTTTCCATAATTAACGTTTTCTCATTAAATCGTAATAAAGCGTTATTAATGTTTTCAGGCTGAAATTATAAAATGCTAGCATACCTCTGCCTATCTAGGTTTGTGCGCTGGTAAGCTTTCGAGCTATATCGTCTATTGACAGTCGCTAAAAATGGCACTAGATCAGACCATCGGGCGTCAGCGGTCATGAACTCTGATCTTTGTGTCGATCTGAACAGCCACACGGACCCGCTTGTTCACTTCAAACTACAGCCGCTTATACAGACACAACGTTCGCTATGTTTGGGATGTTCATTGGCTGTTTCTCTGAGATTCAGACAGCTTGAAGAAGCAGCCACATCTAAAAATAAGGCTTACTTGTGCTTTCTTGCTTTCGAGCGAATCGCTGCGATAGCGGATAGATTGATAGGACTATTTCTAGGCACTACAATCGCCACCCCGCTTACATACGACTTAATTAAGTAGACCTATTTTTACTGAACTAATTGAATACTAATTTTTCTCTCTTTTAATTTCATGGCACAAGACGGACAAAATGCGTAAAACTAAACCACCAATCCCAGGCACACTCCTTACTCCTATGTCTCACACACAATACACCGCCCACAGCTGTTGGTAACATAAAAAACAGAGCAGCGTCCCATCTGTGCCCTTGTTTGTGTCCCTCCATACCGGGCCACGCCGTGTTCAGGCGCTGTGACCCTGGGTCGAGTGGGTGCGTCCCGACCGACTGTCGCGGCCACCCGGCGCCCGAGGCGAGAGGCTGTCGACGAGCTGGTATACGACGCCGGTGAGAGGACGCACCCCGCCGGTCTGATAGCACCCCTGCCGCTCCGACAGCACCCTGCCGCTCCTGTAGCACCCCGCGGCGGCGACCGACGGCGTCCGTCCCTCCCGTGCCGACCTCGGCCCCGCCGCCGCCGCCGCCGCCGGCGACCACCATCCCGTCCGCCCTCTCCGCGGCCAAGGTCGGCGCACCGGTGAACTTGATCCACATTCCGAGGCACCCTGTGTCAATGTCACGGCAGTGTGTTCGCGGACAGTGGCTCCTACCGGGTTCCAGCGCTCTCGACATGTGCTCACTCGTGTGAGACGCGGTCGCCGACCGGTCATAAGAGGGAGAGGATGGGCTAGATGGGGCGGCAGAGGACAAAAGTGATGGACAAGTGACAGCGAGAGTTGATGCAGTGCGGATTCATGGTCGTGGGCTCGGGTATGAGTGAGTGTAGAACGCATGTCGACACTCATCTGTGTTACTGTGCAGCGGCCTCAACATTGCATTGACTTATATTAAGTGAAATAAAGGCAATTAAATGGAATATCCGAACAATAAAATGTATGAAAGAGCAACAGCGAACAAGTATTACAAGCAGGCTCGTTCCTCAGAGAGATAGTTAAATTAGAGATGGAGAGAGAGAGAGAGAGAGAGAGAGAGAGAGAGAGAGAGAGAGAGAGGGAGAGGGAGAGAGAGAGAAAGAGAGAGAGAGAGAGAGAGAGAGAGAGAGAGAGAGAGAGAGAGAGAGAGAGTTAAAAGATAATTCTTAGAACGAACCTAAGCGAACACCGGAGATTGCCATATCGATGAAATAACGGAATCATCTAGTCCTTTTCATTGGGCTGAGCCAGCATGCACAATGCACATTCCTGAAAGACATGGATATGCAGCAACCTCGAGAACCATCTAAAAACTCAAACCTTTCCATTCGCAAAAAGCCACTGAAAAGTAACTGCGAGACCACAGATTTACGTGCAGTTTTACTAATACCGTTTATTGCATAGAATCCTTCAAGATACCAATGAATGTAACTTTAGACTCATTGTGTTCTTGGAGACTCCCGTTCATAGTTCAGGCACCTCGTATTGTTCTTTCTATTTGGGCGCGATTATATCTAATGCATATGTTCCGCTCTCATGTGAATTTCTAGTGTGCAGGGTCGCAGGTTATTGTGAATGGATGGCTTACGAAATCCATACAGTCTATATGCCCTTGAGCTTGTGGATCTCCTTCCAGTTAGCCATGGATCTGTCTGTAGTTTCCAGAGACAAAGGCAGCGATATTTGTGAATTATGTGCATAGGTACATGGAAAAATAAAGCTTCAAATACCTAGGAAACGATCGTGTTTCATATCTTGATATTCATGCTTTATCATCAGCCCGATTTGGTATAAAGGATGATTTTCATCGAAGAAGCATGGTCCGTCTTCGCGTTTGTGCTGACTGCCGGTGCCGACCACGGTGTTTTCCGGAGCTGTGTTCTCCCATACGAGAACATCAGTGCCCCTACCTACCTATCTACCTATACACTGACTATACAGTCCACAGGTAAACTGATTGCAAGGTATTATCTGAGCTGCATTTCGCAACAGCGGCACATGTTCCCTATGACCTTATGATTGGGAAATTGTGGATATAGACACAGATAGACAGTCAGTCTCAGTCGGCGTTAAATGTAAGTGCACGTAGCAGAAACGTTTTTCTGTCTGGCCCACATTTTGTTTCACCACTGCCTCTGACTAAGCCGCGAACAGTGACCACTTATAGCAAACGGATTACATCATGAGCCTCTTTGGACTCTCGAAACATTGAGTGCCTACTGAAGTGTTTTAGGCTCATGAATCCATTCTGACAGGAGACGCAATGTTTAAACATATGCACTATACAAGAGAATAAACCTACATTTCGTGTCAATGTTTGCCAATCGAAACCGCGAACCGCCCAAGAAGACCCATCACCAAATGTCCAACCATGCACTCACGTCCCACACTCAGTCTTCGTTATTCAATAAGGTTGCAATGAGTAGCCGCATCCCAGTTCAGGGCCAGTGCAGGTCAGTCCACCGGACTGAGGAGGACTTTCACTCGGGCTCCAGTTATGAGGAGAGCCGCTATGCATCACGTTACGGCCGGCGCTCCCCTTCCACTGGCCCTGACCTGGTGCAATGGGTCGTCCGCCGCCTATTCGGACCCTAGCACTCCTCTCTATCGGCTGCAAGCCGTGTTTACATTCGTATGAGTAGCAATCGCGGATCAACTGCATGGAGAAAGCAAGATACAACATTGTGCGCCATTCATAAATTCATGGCTAAGGTGTCGTCTGTCAAGAAGTTGCATTAGGCATTGGTGTCACTTGTAAATGACCCTTCTAGGTTCTTTTTGTGCTGTCCTCAAACAATAGTCATCAGATCGCTATTAAATACATAAATCTCGTTTCGTTTCGATCGCAATTCGCAATCATCCAGTGCACGCCAATGAGGCCCCTGTGCACCAGCTGAAATGTGCTCCCATTGCGCAGTTGGCACGGCATCTCTCCCCCTGCACGTGGTGTGCTCGCTCGCGCTCAGTCAGGTCACGCTCCCGGGAGGCGCAGCCCTGCAGCGGGAATCCACACCAGTGCCGCAGGGCTGACCAGGTCACGTGCACCGTCACTCGCCAGCAGCGCCGCCCCGAGAGCCCTTCTCCGCACAGCGCATCTTCTACCGCCCACACAGGGTTGTATCCGAGCCCAGCAGCAGCTCAGGGAAATACGGCGGCTTATTGGATCGGGCGCTAACTTTTTCAGCCAACGAACTGTGTGTGGGAGTGACGCAGTTCCGGTTCATGTCAAAGAAAAAGCCGATAAGAACCATTTGTTTTGTATTGTTTTTATGGATAGATACCTGGCTGGCCAGAGAGCAGCATAGAAGGGCACAAAAAGACGGGAGAGAGCATTCGACACAGAAAAACATTGCAAAATACAAGTTGGATACATGTCCCATCTGCATAATTTCCCACTTACAGCCTGAGAAACGAGTCACACCTTTGTACATGTCGGTAAAATTGACACAGGTCCTGCATTGGACGAAATGGACAGGGCCGTGCGCGACCCTTCACAGATGTCCGGCCCGGTATCCACCTATCCCAGAGTGCCCGGTCGAGCTGTCGGGCCACCCCACACCACGCGGCGGCCACCGGAGCATCCGCTCTACCCACTAACACAGACAGAGATCAGACACGGACGGGGCTGCCGCGGCGCCGGACGGTCGGGTCGAGGCCGTCACGACCGGCGTCCGACGGCCCGCTGACACGCCGCACATTTCGTATGGACGTCGCGACCGACAGAGGAGAGAGAACGCGCGAGAAACGGGTGGCACTGGGGGCTCTGGTGGGCGGCCAGCGCTCATCCTCGGCGCGACCCGACCAGAAACGTCGACAGACTAGTGCAAGCAGCTCCTTGCGGACCCTTGTCCCACAGAAATCGCAAATGGTGATCGAACCAATCCATGCGAAAGAAATGACGCAGACGTTTCTCGCACACCCTGTGCAAAAGCAAACTCACAGGCTTCTTATTATGTTTAGCGTTAAATCGAAATTAAAACTATGCTGAGGTTCACAATGCAAGAGAAGTGCTTATGCTGAGACAAAAACTGAAGCTGATAAAATCAAATACGAAGTTTTACGGACGAAATCGACACTGCGACACACACCTGGAGCCGCAACTGTACATTCGGTAAGGCGACAGACAGGACCTCAGAGCGGGCTACACCCGGCTCTGGATGTCACGATACGCTTCGACGGTACAGTCGTCATGGAATGGGGCACTTCCGGTCACCAACCCTCGTTACAGAACGGTCGAACACGGCCCGACACGGCGCTACAGGCGTCTCACAAGGATCTGGGCTGTCACCGGTACTCGGAAACAGAAACAGACCGTGCGGCCGGCACGAGCGCGCCGCCGGACAACGCTGGCAACCAGCGAACTGACTTATTGTAATAGTCTGCATGACAAAAATGGCACAGTTATGTTTAGATATTGATGGACGCCAGTTAGTTGAATTTCTCAGTCGGCCTCTAAACTCTGAATGTGACACTTAGGATAATCTTGTCGCGATCCTACCTCTAGTTTTATCTACTTTTTATAATACTATTACATATATTTTATACCATGTCTCCACCTTTACATTGTCGTCAAAATCGTCCCTGCTTCGACTCCACACTGCCCGCTACTTCGTGTCCAGTGAGCGCGTTCAAGTCCTGATGTCACAGCTGCGTCCGGGCCTCTCGCCACCCTCTGAATGCCCCAAACGAGCCCCTGTCAGTGTCGGGCGCCCCCACATCTGAGCGGCAGCGCTCCGACAGAGCGCCACAGCGCGGCGTCAGGCGGCAATTTACAGGACGCCCCGAATCCGAATAGTCTTTATGTATTTCTGCACAGACGCATGAAAGACCAACAGTACCTATACCGTGTCGGCGGTCTCGGTAGAGGTCCCGAGCCCAGAAACCGAACAGGAGGCCCCTCGGTAACCGCGCACATCCCGGTCATCAGTTCGGCGGCGCGCAGAGACGGCAGCCCCACAGGGGTGCAGAGCCGACACCCATGGTCGGAGAGGCTTCAGCTTAGGAAGCACACCTATCCCCTCTGAGCCCGAAATTGGCGGCACAGCGATATTTGTATGTTTGAACATGTCAACACTTGTGTGGTGAGCAGGGGCGCCAGCGGACTATCCCGAGTGCGCGGCGGCGAGCGGCGGGCGGCGGGGCGGTGGGAGGCGGCGGACGATGGGGCGGTGACCCATCATCCGGGTCAATCTCCCGCCTCACAGCTGGCTGAGAGGCGGCGCCCACGGCACAGCTGCAGGCAAGCGGAACTGACGCTGACGGCGGGGGGCGGCGGCGACGGCGCGGCAGCCGATAATGGAGCTCCGAGAGCCGGACCACGTGACAGTGGCCCGCGGCGATCTGGGTCGGTCGAAGGTCGCTGACCGTCTGGGTCGTCTGGGTGGAGACCCGGCGGCTCTCCTCCTCCGCAGACATCTGCAACAGAAAGAGACTCCCGTGAGAACTCCACTCCACCTCCTCAGTCATTCAGTACAGGCACCCCGACAGTTTGTCTCGGCAACTGAGCACGGACCGACTGACAGGCGATCGCAGACGCGCGTCCGTACCCAGCTGTAAATAAACACGTGCCGATCTCGACGGCCCGGGGTGCTGGGGAGTCCAGGTTATCGTCCGAACCGGGTTGTGCAGACGCTGGGGACCCACCAACCGCGCCAGACGCTCTTGGGGGCCGGTAAACATGGAAACGGGGCGCGGGTCAGAGGTGGGATGGGATACAATGGTGGGTCAATGGTGGAACGGGTTCAGGTCAATGGTGGGACGACTTCGGGTCAGTGGAGATACCGGATAAATGATAACAGGATAGATCAGGACACAAGCTAATGGTGGCAATTGAGGGACAAGTCAATAGTGGGACAGGTCACAGGTCAATAGTGGGATGGAACAAGGCTCAGTGATAGGACGAGCACAGGTTTGAGGTGGGACGTCTTATGGGTCAGTGGCATGGGACAGAACACGTGGACGGGGTACAGGTCAGAGGTAGAACGGAGCCGTAGGACGGGGCACATGTGACATATCAAACGTGGGATGGGGGTAGACGTTAGCGGTATGGCGGAGCACTTGAGCAAGTGTTCTGCTCAAGTGTTCCGGGGTGACAGCAGACAGGAAAGATTAGCTTCGAACATGTCGAATCGCCCAATGGGATTAATGTTGAGTGGATCACGTGCTCCATACAACGAGCACCGTGAGGACTTAGCAGTGTCGACGCAACGTGCTGCACGACCGGAACCGAAGTGGCATGGCAGAAGCGATAAATTTTGAATCGATATCGGCCGATAGATAACGAGTTCCGGTAAGTTTGCGAACGTGACCAGCGGCGACATATCCAGCTGGGATCAGCACCGGCGGCCGACCCCGCAGTCAGTGGACGGTGAAAAATCTGCAGTAGGCGGCCGGCCGGCCAGTCACGCTCCTAGCACAAGCCGGGCCAAACGTGAGGCATTGCCTCAATGTCATTGCTCTCAGCGAGAGTGGGCTTTGCTTGCACTGCACGGCCAAGAGCTAACGGCACCGTTTGTGTGTTTAATTTCAGTCGTGAGAATATCAACAGAGGCCGGATTTGCTTGCTTCTGCAAGGTCCAATTCAATGCATTTTTACTGCAGAAACACAAACTTAGTAAGCGTTGGTAGCTGTTGAACCGAAGTTGAAGCCTTTTTGCATTCAGCTTGGATGCATTTAATCACATGTTTATTAAAAACAGCGTCATTCATTCCAGGATACAGTACAATTCTAAATTTGAAGTCCCTTACTCTGTTCACTTTTACTGCGCCAAGAATGAATGGTGCTATGGTTATGACAGTTAAGACCAAATAACCGGTTTGGAGTTTCGACATACTTAAAGTCAATCGGTTAAACAAGTAACAGCAAAAAACGAGCCTCCACTGAACACGAACAATTGGCACGAAGGTCAGATAGCCTGTTAAGGGGTCATTATTGTCCGTGATATGAACAATAGGCCGCACGTGTAAGCCACACGGTGGTGAATGCGGCCACCCAGCCTTAATGAAGAACTTTCCTCCTAAACGACCCTTTTTGTTGCAGCCATATTTATAAGCTAGCTGTATCGGCCGCAATCCCAAACACAGTATCCCGACGGATCTGGATCTATCTCGGTGGCATATTTGTCGCCATAACTCTTATCACATTCCGCTGAACACAGGCATTCACCTATGCTTTTTAGTTATTCCGCACCAACAAACAACTTTATGGGCAAAAACATGTTGATGGTCGTTGTAAACATCAACAACACTGTTTATCATGCATTTGATTGACCAATGCAGCATAGCAGGCTGTAATGCTGAGCCTGAAATTTGGTAATTACATAGGCATTGCATGAATATGTAGCTATAAATGTTATTGCTTAGCTGGGACAGAGATATTCTACATATTATAACCAGCTTGACTGCTCTGTAAAGTGTGTGATTTTAGCTGCATTTCACGTGTAGTACAGGCTGACGAAGAAAGACGAACGTCTTTCGAAAGCTCCCGAAACAAATAAATGAAGCTGGTGTTTTAACTATTTCAACAATAGAGTATTGTATAAATCTCTAATGCACATGTATGTCAGTGAGCTCAAGAACAGCTGCAGTGCACCCTGCAGAGCACGCCTGGGTGCTGTTTAGGTGCAGCTGCCCTGGCTCTATCCCTGATGACCTGGGTGCGCCCCTGACGACCTGGGTCATTCGGACTGCCACACCGCTGTCATTTTGACAGCCGTGACGAGTGACAGACGACTAGTCACAGCCACTGGACTCTGGGGTCGTGAACGGGGCTTCGGATCAGCGTCCAGTCACCGAGGTTGATTGGGGGTTATATGAGCCCAAGAACCACGGCTAGGTCGACGCCTTTCCAATAACCTTAGCAGACTAGAGTTCAGTAAATGCGCACCGGAAAAATAGACCAATGTGGACGCTTAATTTCAAGTACACAAACGACAAAACAGTGCAATTCAAATCTTTATATCTATATTTCGCAGACGTTTCAACGACAAGGCGTCTTCGTCAGTGCAAATGAAGTGAAACTTAGTACATATGTTTAATTAATTAGCATATTCGATAGCATATTCAATAGGATATTCGACAAATATTCGATAAATTACTATACGTATTCGTTCAATCGTTCACATGAAAATGACACAGGATACATTTACCTTTACCCACAGAAACACATCATTTTTGGAGTCCAACCACGTTCTAGACTGTGTGGTCTCCCTCCACTTGTACAAATACATTTAAATATCTATCGCCATCTTTGCTCCGATCTTTGCCCACGTAAAGAAGTCCGATTTTACGTTGATGACATCATTTAACATAATGATAACATCGGGCTTCTTTACGTGGGCAAAGATCGGAGCAAAGATGGCGATAGATATTTAAATGTATTTGTACAAGTGGAGGGAGACCACACAGTCTAGAACGTGGTTGGACTCCAAAAATGATGTGTTTCTGTGGGTAAAGGTAAATGTATCCTGTGTCATTTTCATGTGAACGATTGAACGAATACGTATAGTAATTTATCGAATATTTGTCGAATATCCTATTGAATATGCTATCGAATATGCTAATTAATTAAACATATGTACTAAGTTTCACTTCATTTGCACTGACGAAGACGCCTTGTCGTTGAAACGTCTGCGAAATATAGATATAAAGATTTGAATTGCACTGTTTTGTCGTTTGTGTACTTGAAACAATGTCTTCTTGGACGCTTAATGTAATCATAAGGAACGGCAACCTTGATAATATTATTGGTGAGCAAATGATTGCAAATACCGTAATGTTACAACCATCAGTTCGTTTTCATATTGCGCCATTCGAACTGCACCATATTCCTGCATCGATCTAATAAACGCAACATATACCTAGAAGTTATGTTATCATTTCTCAAACACTCAACATTCAACAGTTATCTTAGTTGACACTGGTTATTTGCTTTCATGATAAAAGTTTGCCCGATAGTTACGGAAGAACGCTACGTTGCAAGCGCTACGGTAAAATGATTTATACTATTGAAGTTATGCACTTAAAACAGCAAAGTATTTTTGGTATGGACATTTTCACATCCTTCCATGACACATGCAGCCACATCGCCCGTCCCTCGCTGCAATGTCTACAACATGACCTTGATATGACCTTGACAGCATGACTACCTGGACGCAAAAGGTGTTCAAATAGTATGTTTCAATCGTAACGTTTGCTGGAGAGCTCAATATTCCGGTAAACGCTGACATCTCCAACGGAGGAAAAAAATTCAAGACTGTATTTCACTGCCGTCTTTCCAAGGCGCTAGTGGCGTATAAACACCGTTCAGCGCCATGTCTCAGCTCACGCAATCTCCAAAAATTGGATTTCATGAGTGCAAATGAATGTGCGGACAAGTGTATGGTTCCGTCTTCTACACAGTACTTTACGGCGCAGATCTCGGACCGGTTGGGGTTGCGGACTCGATGCCGGAGCTCGACGGCGAGCTGCCAGGAATGAGGGGCGAGCCAGCCGTCGGCGAAAGTTGCACCCGAAGGTCAGCCGGCTGCTGCATCTGGCACCGGTGTGTGGGAGGGGCAGGTCGAGCGGGGACGGCAGCACTCATCAGCCGAGGGAGGCCGCCGTCAGCCCGGTCCGGTCCGGTTCCCAGCTCTTATCGCGCGGCGGGCGGTAAACCTACACTGGAAGCTCGGCCAGAGCGGCACCAGAACGGTAAAGATTGGCAGGCAGGTCAGAATAGTGGCCAGCATTCAGAGGAGAAATGATCAGAGAAACACCCAATGGCAACCAGGCCACCATAAACGGCGGTCAAAACCAGGGCTGCGGAGTCGATGGATTTTCGGCGACTCCGACTCCGACTCCGGCTCGGGTTTCTAAAATAGACTCCGACTCCGACTCCGGTCACAACTGTCGACTCCGACCGACTCCGACTCCGACTCCGACTCCGACTCCGACTCCGACTCCGCAGCCCTGGTCAAAACCAACGGATCTCATCAGAACAGCATACTCACTCGTAGAACGTGGGCCTAGCGGTCGACGGCCAGGAAATCAGACGAACTATATCATACTGACTAGCCATGAGCCAGGCGCCGGGCGGTACCCGTGGACCGGGAAACTGCCTCTCAGAGTCGGCAAGTCTTTCCGTCCGGTCTGCGGCCACCCTGCGAGCCCTGTCCGGTCACTCGAGCCTCCGCCCGCGCCGATATCGGAGGCGAAACACGCGACACACGCGATCACGTGACGCATTCCTGTGCACGGAAGGTCGGTCGACGAGCGAGGCGATAAACGACCGCGACCAACGACCGGGACACATGCCAACAAAGCATTGAGGGAACGTAAGGTTAGTAGCTGGTCTGTTTACAGGTGCAAAACACACAGTAAAATGATTTCAATTGTTGGACTACCATTTTTATGTGCATTCACACTGTTATATTTTAATCGTTTTATAACAAAGACATGAAATAAAGCCAGGAACTACATAAATAATCAAAGTAGGCAAAGAATTCCATAAGATGTCTTCACAGCAGCTACTGTACCAATATTGTTCCTCTATGCTACAACAATGCCATCATTTGTTCTCATCTCCAGCGCGCTGGATGAACTGTGTGCCGACATTTTCCAACATATGTAATCAGCACACCCCGGTAATCCGCAGCCAGCAGCGTTATGCGAGTCGTGGCACGCCGTACCGACGGGGCGCCATCGTCGCAGCAATCTATTCCCCACGGGAGACCGGGAACTTATTGCACGAGCGCGCGCTACAGTCGATACATCGAGCGCACCTGAGCGGCCGAGGCAGTGCGGGACATGTGTACGCAGACGTGCAGAAACTGCCGGTACGAAGGAGTGGCAGGACGGAGCAGCCGGATCTGACCACGGCTATAGGCCAGACACAAGGCTAGCTGAAGTACAGTTATAGTCGTTGCAGAAGAATCTGCAGCTCGTGAAGCACAGTTCCGGAGTCGGTCCTGGAACTGGCACGTTCGCTCGGTACGAGGTGAAATGGGGTGGTGTGAAGACAACAGATAACTCCGCTAATCTGCCCCGGCCTGTGGACACCCAGCACCAGGATGTCTTGTGGAAACTCCTGGCGTTCCTTCCAGGGAAAAATTCCTGGATTAGGTGCAGTGCAAACAGCAAAACAGATAGACAGATATTGCAGACCCGTTTTATATCAGAACACCTCGCCAACGAAGTGCTGACATAAGCAATGGACAATGCTATAGAGGCTTAATAACAGAGAAACTTCAATACTACCCGACCAATATTTGTGGTTTTCGAGCGTGGTGTTGCCACCGCTTACCAGCACGTAATGCGGTTAAACAAGAGCCGAGCGCACGCTACAAAAGACTGAGGCACCGGATCATCCCAACCAGCTGATGCAAGTTCATGGAACTGGTTGATCGAATATTCAACTGAAACTGTTTGCAATTATATCTGCACACTTCGATATGGTCACTTGAAAGTATGCAGACACCTATCTGCAGTGCGAGCAGGTAAACGGATGCAGCATCATTCTTAAAAACCGCAAATGCCCGGTCGGGTTTTATTGAAGCTATTTCTATGTACTAAAGCACACATGGAATGGATCAATGGATGGCTAATGCCTTTCCAGGACACCTGCTTGCAATAATCGTAGACAGCTGCACAGCATGCGTGCTGGTTACGAGCAAATTAGAGGAGGGCGAAATAAAGAGTAATCCACGGTAGCAGAAATTTTGCTGCGTCCATAGAAGCATTTGCACTCGCCAGATGCCGATAAACCTCTCAAGTTTCATGTTCTGTCCATAGATGGCGCCAGTAGAACGCGCCTGAAGGTAGGCTGTACCGCTTAGCACATACCGAGTAGCCTTGCGCTTTATGGCTATTTACCGCTTGTAACTACCTCCAATTTTCCACTGTTACTTCGTGTTTGAGAGTGAATTTAAGGCTACATCAATGATTCATCTGCTGACAGGCTGAACATTTACTGACCGCGCTCTCTTGCCCAGTGTCGACTGCCGATTACCTACCCATTCAGATTGCAATCATTTCCGTGCTTAACGTATCGAAGATCATACGTATCGAGGATCCATCCATAGAACCGTCTGACATCACTGCCAAAGAAAGCATCGGGCTTCGGAATACAGTCTTTCCTTGGTTTAAACTCATGATTGATGCTTGCATGTGATCGCTAAATTACCGCTACAATGTTGTGAACGGAGCGACAATAATAATGCATTTTTACCAACTCTACTTCTGCTTCAAGATCCCGAAAAGTATTGGACAGCGCCAGGGACCGGAGGCTTCACTGATTGCTTAAACTCTACTGAGTCCATGAACAGACAGATGTTCCCCAATCGCATGAGGCTATCTATGTATATAAGACCCCCATGCACAGTTCAACCGCCAGGGCTCAGAGCCCCTGACGACAGCCCGGCGCCTGGCACCATATTAGGCAGATGGCGCGGCGCCACGCCAAAATAGCCAGCATTCCAGTGACGGGGGCGATAGTGCGGCGGTAGCCGCGGCGCCTCCGACTGACGGGTGGGCGCCGTGTCGGCGAGATTGGCACGGCGGCGCCCGGCGCGAGCAGCTGCCAGCCACCGACGCGTCTGAGTCAGAGAGACCGACACGCCGCCAACACATGGCTGACGATCCCCCGAGGCCGCTCCAAAATGCCACCTGCGACTGGGGAATCTACCCCGCCCTCCCGCGGAATCCCTGCCAGCAGACGCAGCAGAAAGGAATGAGGCGTGCTGCCACTGTCGGAACCGAGGCAAGGTCAACCAAGGATGTTTCGCAAGGACCAAATAACTCTTCTAAATGCTTGAGACGAGGTGTTAGTATCACTGATGTTAGTTGTCGGACTTTCGTCCCCGTCATGAGTTGAGATGTTAGTTTCACTCGGTGAAACTAACATCTCAACTCAAGACGGGGACGAAAGTCCGACAACTAACATCAGTGAGACCAAATAACTATTGTGATGACTTGTGAAATCAAGGTCATGCATAAAATGCTTGAATTGAAACCTCTTCATCGCCCTTGATCAATATCTTGCTGCGGTGACCGGGTCACATAAATGACGTCACAGACAGGTGCGTGACGTCATCATCAGTGCCCGTCTGCCATGACACACTTTACTGAAGGAAACTCTGTCGGGTCAAGCGTCGCTCTGACTGAACCACGCCCAGTGTGCACTGTGCAGCAGCCAATCCTCCCCCCCCCCCTCAACGGCACTCCCAATTGTGTGGTAGTCCACACAGGTTCGGAGAGGGCTTGGTGACGTCATTATGTCGTCATCCAATGTGTGCCGTGCCCAGTAAAGGAACTGAGATCAGCCAGAGTAAGAACGACTAAGGAATAATCAATTACATAGCTGCTGTGCTGTGTGAGGATGACAATATTGCATGCTGCACCATCTACTGAACGGTATTATTCGAAACTTGAACTCTTCCGACAGCGTCGAGGGAAATTGAGAAATACTCCCAAGTGCAGCTGAGCAATTCGATAGACGATTGCACCGGGTGATCGCTAGTTGCAACGTTGCAAAGACTCCAAGGTAGCTGATCCATTCGACATGCTAGATGCAAGTGAACCAGCAGTCTCGGTCGGTGGTGATTCATTCGATGACGCCAGATTTCAGCGAGCCAACAGCCACAGACAGCGACTTGGCAAGTGGACGCTGAGAAAAACTAACTGACCCACCAAACATGGCTCGTTCGTATTAATAAAAAATGTCTAGAGCATATCAGAAATGACAACATAGACGAAAATATCGGTTTAATATTAGCAATGCAATGCAATAAATAACTCCTATGCCTAATGAATTACGAAACTAACACCAGTCGTTGAGAAGCGGTGCTCTTCTGCGACAAAGTCAGCACAGATTGAGGTTAGACAGCTCGGAAGTCCGCGCTGTGCTGTTAACAGGTTGTTCGGGACCAGCCGCCTTTTCAAACGAAACGACAAAAATCTCTCGCTCTAAATAGGTTAGTAGCTGGTAGATAGTTTGGCCTCATTGAGGCCCGGCTACAAAAAGCAAAAAAAAAAATGGCCCCGGCCGTTTATTACATGATATTGCCAACAGCACAACGCTCTGGGGACGACGGCTTTTTGTCAAGCAGCTGAAACCTGCTTGGTCAATATTTGTGGAAACGTATTGTTATATATTAGATCGAGAAACCAGTGCTGTCATCAACAGCACATTGAATGAAGTATCGTATAGCCAGTACATAGGAAGTCATTTGTCACCTTTAAATAATCGGTCCAACAATCAATCGCATGTCACCGCTTCCAAAAGCGGTTTCCGTTGTCACTGTCAGTGCCTCCAGATCGCTACCTGTCAATATCAACACCGTCCCGGATATAACAGAAAATATTGTGACAAAAGCTCTCAATGGTGATGTTCCTTAGAACTCTGGACAGCATTAGCGAGTTACGTAGATCGTGGGCCTCATCTCTATTCATAAGCACGCTTTACTGGAATGCAAGGTAAGCCGAGTATTTCAAGGCTAAAATGGTTCACTTTCTCATCACTCCTCAGACCATCACATGCAACGATTAAAACCGCGAGGCATTGTCATTAACATATTGATATTCAGTCCCTACTAAATCTGGCGGCCCTCTCACAAGATATTTCCTCTGAAAGGATGACATGTTTAATACATGTCTTTGAGAGGCGCTTTCAACTGTCAACCAAGACCTTGTCGGCCGATTAAGGTCATGTGTTGGGATATCCTGAGGCTTAGCCCCCGTTATCACACTTTTACCGAGGGGACAAGGACCGAATCAGTGTCAGCAGCGTGACAGATTTGTAGACGAAGTTTTCTTGCCTGCATCCTAGTCTGGCGACATCAACTAACTTCGTGAGCCGTTAAGCATGGTTGCTATGGAATGGTTCGAAATTTTAGAGGTTGAAGTAGTGGTGTGCATACCTGAAAATGTGCCGAGAAGCTCCACTGGAATGTAGCGGGAGATGAATTCAGCGCCTTCAGTCGTCACCTTCGTCGCCTGCTTCTGTCGCCGCCGCTGCCAGATGGTGTAGAAGCCAGCCGCACAGCCCACTTGTGTGCGCCGCCAGAGTGCTGCTCTTGGAGATAATATGACCCACGAACCTCACACGTTCCGCCCCGCTACCAGCCCGCGCGCCCGTCCGCCCACTCGGCGCCGCATCCGTCCACCAGTCTGCCAGCGCGCCGCCCCGTAGCCACCACACGGTGCCGGCATCAGAGTCACTTGCAACTAGAATATCACGGTGGACGCGCGGTGGACGGGTGTCGCGCGAGCTACGAGCACTGGGGCTGCGCCACCGAACAGTTGCACGGCGGCGTGGTCGGCGGCGGGCTCGTGAAGCACGGGGTCAGGATCAGGGCGTTACCTCCCTGCTGCGCCTGTAGCGCCTGCTGCGCCTGCAAGGCCTCGTAGTGCTTCTGCAGCTGCTGCACGTAGACCTGGCAGGCGAGCTGCTGTATGAGCGTCAGCGTCTGCCGCCGCTCGTGGCTCATCAGGCAGACGGTGGAGTCGCTCACCACCTTGTGGAGGACCATCAGGTACGCGTACTTCAGGGGCTCGTCGGCGCCGAAGAAGTGGTTGGTCAGGTACGTTTCGAGCTTGTTGCGCTGCAGCGCTACATCGGGGAAGTCGATGAAGAATCGAGAGCACATGTAGCGCTCCAGGGTCTTGATGTTCTCGGGCTCAGAGGGCGTGAAGTCCTTGACGAGGAGGTTGCAGTACTTGAGTAAACCGCCGCCGCGGATCTCCTCCGGCTTCCATGTGGCGATCAGCCTCTTCTGCAGGTGGTAAAGGGCCTCCTGGAAGTCACCGTAGACGCTGACGCCCACCACGGTCGGGTAGAAGTTCTCCGTAACGATCTGCGGCTCGGCACATCGGTAGAAGAGGAGGATCGAGTCGAGCAGGATCTGGAACGAGTCCACAGAGAACTCGAACTTACGCCGCATCGTGTCGACGAACTTGAGCTCCACGTTCCTTCCACCGTGGTTGGAGAGCGAGATGAGCGACCACCTGTCGTTGTCGCTCACTTTCACCATCTTGTGCACGTACGCCTCGCGCATGCTGCACGCGCTCATGCGCTTCCTGCTGACGTCTGCCGGCAGGAGATCAAGGAGCGCCTGCAGCACGGCGGTCTTCACCTTCTCGTAGTCCTTCTGCGTCTGCAGATCCACGAGGAAGATGAGGTCGATGTCGTTGTAGGTGGACGTGGCAGCGCCGTCTCCAGCGGAGAGGATGTGGCTAGCGGCGCCACCGTTAACGCGCACACTGCGCACGGCCACGCCGTCTTCGCGCAGTCGCGTGCGCACCTCCTCCACCAGATCCTTCAGACGCACCTCCAGCGTCGGGAAGTTGCCTCGCCCGTGGATCGGGAGCACCTCATTCAGGACGCCGTGCAGCCGCTTGACCTGTTCGTAGGTCAGCGTGGCCAGGTGCTGGTTGGAGCCATCGGCAGCGGGCAGGGTGTCGATGGTCTCCATGGTCGGACAGTCGAACGGCAAGTGTCGAGGTGGTAGAGTGATGTTGAAGACACTGCAACAGAAAACAGAAAACGTCCAGGGTCATTGAAACATAATGATGGCTCCGCTAATTTCTGATAGGCAGCAAATCTTTGTACAGCAGTTAACTATCTGCTGAGAAGTTTTGCCTCAGTCTCTAACAAAGACCCCGTGCAACAGCGCATGAACGTCCATGCACAGGCTGTCCAGGCGTGCCTTTGTTTTGCCTGCGCTGAGACCGAGCGAACAAAGGAACTGGATGGTATACGCCAGGATTCAGACAGTGTTGCCCTTTGCAAAATTAATCACATACGTTCATGCTTACTCTTTGGTCGATACCTAACGGCTAACCACGGTGGAAACAAAACGGGTGTGGTCTGGGAGTGGTCCAAACAAAACCCCCGGGTCCATTTGCAGATGATAAAACAGCATTGACAAGGGGTGATGGTTATCACAAATACAACACGATCATGCAGCTTGACCACACCCCCACCCGACCGGGTCATGGTCCAGCTGATAAGCAGCAGAAGAAGTTGAATAATATCAAGTTCAGCTACTCCGCCAAACCAGTTTTTGTCGGCGTGGTCCATGACCGGTGCCGAGAACTGCCCGAAGGTGAAGGCCACGTGTCGACCCTGTCACGTGCGACACGGTCACGTGACGGACGGACGACTCCTCATCCCGGAGGGCGTTCGTTAAAAAAAAATCGAAGCCACACAAAGCGTCTGAAAATTTAGTTGATTGTTCAAATACAAGCAGCACTTAGCAAATTGGTTTCATACCATGAATTGGCAACTTAGGCATATGGAAAATTAATTTTGTAAAGCACAAGGTAGGTAATTTGTAATTAACTTTTATTTCCTTGCAAACTTTATCTCAAACAAAGAAATGGGACACCGATAGAAATCGTCCGTCTATGAAATGAAACGGTGGGAACAATAGGCATTAAAACAACATATCATTTGTCTGAAGTGATGTAGGCCATATAAAATTCGGGCCAAACCTGATAAAAATACTGTTTATGTCTTCACCGCACTTAAAATCCGTCATAATAATGAAAAAGAAGGTATGCAACAATAAATCCTTGTAGGATGTTAGATAGATTATCGAAGCTGGTTTGTAAGAGATGAGAACAATAGGATGCTCGTTGTCCACTCCAGACACTGTGCCAATTCAGTGTCACAGGGGCATTTTATAGGCTCGTAATCAGCAGCGAGTGGGTGGCAGGCACGGCCGAATGCTACCCGCCACTCCCCGGTGGTACGCTATCGTAATAGATCGGCTCCCCGTCCGCCACGACCTTCCTGAGAGCCCCAGCGGCCCGGCCACTAGACGTGTGACCCAGAAAGACAATCACCGTGCCATTACCGCGTCCTTCGCGGGCCGCCAGCCAGCCGGAACTGGAGGGCTGCTCGTGCGGCCGCGCCCGTCTGCAGCGGCCCGCTTCCCGGCGGCCGGCCCATGGCACCGCCAGCACCCTCCACGCGCAGCGCCGCCGGCGGCCGCTGGAGGTCACTCATTGTGGCGCGCCCGGTGCATTCCAGCGGCGCACTGGGACAGCGCCGAGCTGGCCAGGTGGTCAGGCTGCCGGACGCGGAACCCGGCACAAGGCCAGCTCGTGACACGCGTCCTGACCCGGCCGAGGGGTATTCATGATGGGCCGGCCTGACCGCCAGTCTCCTAGGAACGGCAACACACGCGGCCGATCGATGCGAGTGCCTGACTGGGCTGGCTGAGTGGCTCTACTATATTGTACCATACCGTGGGCACGGTGGGGCTCATGACGCACATCGGTACGGCAAACGACTTTGTGCGGCACGGAAAGGCAATGTGCCTGAAAACTGGACTCTATCTCCATTTCTAGTCACGTATTCACCGAGCAGACATGCCACCCCATCACGTCGCCAGCAGTGAGGCTGCTGATTTCGGCGGCCGTAACACTCCCGTCCGAGGTCGTTTGAGTTACCCTCTGGGCACAGCAGGCATGCACCTGAACACGTCGAGGACGCGTGGCTTGCGTCAGCCGCCGCCGCCGACCAGGCGTTCTGACGTAACACGCGGGTGACGCACAGCACAGAGATGGAAAAACAGCGACAACGGCATGTGGTGTCATACCCAACGCGGTGGGTGGGAGGACAGAGAAAATAATGAAGAAGAGAGGGAAGGAGGCAAGAGAAATGAAGAGAGGGATTGATCTCGCTCGCTCTCTGCGCTCGCTCGCCCTAACTCAGCATCTGAAGACATTCGTAGGAATAATCTCCAGCTATCACATTTAATATCGCACTCTGTTAGGCTGAGTGACTCGTTCACTGCAATTGCATTTGAAAAGAGGTGGCTGTCTTGTTATTACGCATTTCGTAGTTCGCTCTGCTCTGCGAAATTATCTACTAATGGAAAGGTAAGACCGAGGAATTTTACCTGTAACGTTTGTGACTTGTGAGTGACCAACAAAGGATTATTAAAGTCGGAAGCTGACACGAATGGTGTGATAGCGGCGGTCACGACCTTTTGCAGCTTTAGCAGCGTTTAACACTGCACAAAATGGAATTTGACATATGTTGCAACCGGACTCGCACTCCAAAACGTTCGTTTTGGAGTTTAACACTCACGTTTCTCACAAAGCAGAAGACTTATATTGTTCCTGGATTGTTTCGTCATCCACGGAACAATCCAGGAGGTAGATTTATTTCTCAAACGTATAAAATCATAGCCAAGCTGTGCCATGTGTGTACTTTTATATGATTTTATACGTTTTATCACACTCGCGTGGGCATACCTATTTTTATCTCATGTTCTCTGAAATCTGCTTCAACGACTGTGTGATATACGTGTCCTTTATGTACTTTGACACTGTGGGGGTAAAAGCCAACATTGTTGGATCCCACTAAGACATGCAATACAATACAATACAAACACGAATAGGCACAGCAATCTTACGGCCCTCAAGGCGCTGTATGACATCCATACTTTATGTACGTTGTATTCCAGATTTATGTAATTTATGTCCCCCAATTTAGCCTGATGTGAACGCATAATTTTGTTAAATAGCTGCAGCAACTGAGCTTCAGCGCTCGTTGACACTGGGGCTCAGTCACTCGCTCTGTACCCCCAACGCACATACGGACACGCGGACATATGCGGCCAAAATCGATCGGGCTGCCGTCACAAATGGCTCTGTCTAGCAGTTGGGCCGATCAGCCGCCGCCAGAGGCGGACAGCTGTCATATGTTCAGGTTAATGATCGTTCGACAGGCCCCGGGGAAGGTCACAGTATATAGACTCCGTGGAACAGCTCCGGTCCGCCCACAAACGGCGTGGTAACAGCTCGGCGGCTGAGCCGGTGCCGGATGCAGACTGAACGGGAATAGGTCCGCGCAGAGCACCGCCAACAATAGAGAGAGGATGAGGGCTTCAGAACAAACGCTGGAAGTTTTAGTTTTTACGAATAGTCCCGACAGCTTTTGGGTTAGTTATGGGCAAAAAAAAAACTTACGCCAGGAGGAGATATTATAGAAAGCAATTTAAAAAAGTTCCTTTGTGGTCATACTGCCGCAATGTTGGTTTATGAATGAGTTGCCCCGCAGTTACATCAGGAGCGCCCATCCCGATTCAAAATGGCCATGACTACGAATTACGAGTCATGCCTTGACTGCAGAACAGTGCAAGCCATTCACGTGTGGCAGCCATATTTTACGTGTACCATTAGGCCATCCGCGACCTTGGCAATTCATGTTCCCTCAGCAAAAGTAAATCGATAAGGTAGCTAGCTGAATATTACAACAAGTAGCATCTTCTTCATGCACTAGCACAGACCTCATTTACGTGCATTGTCAATGAATCAAAGCAAGCTCTATAGAAAATAACTGACGAATTTTAATTGATTTAATTTGAAGCGAATGCAAAGGGTCCGCGGCGCACGTCTGCCCTCTCCGGTGCTAATTAGCCCTCCGCCACTGGGTCGCTGCTCCGCCGGCCATTACCATTGGCGACCGGGTCGGCACGGTAGACCGTTACATGCTCTCGTTACGGGTTCATCTGTCAAAGTTATGGGCCGATAGCCCGCGACAGACGGCCTCCGCGACCCACTTCCTGACCTCATTGGTGTTACCGACACCACTGGAGCCAAGGTCAGGTCCAGAGGAGCTGTGATTATGATGGAAGAAGATACTGTCGACTTACGCCCATTGGTATTTAAGCGGCCAATAAAGATGTGATAGTTTCACGACTATGACCTAGGTGTCTTGGGAACGTTGTTTACTGTGCTCATGTTTTGTAGTCGTGCATAGGATATGATTTGCAATTGGTGAACATATCCACTATTCACTAACGACTAGCTTGACCGGTGGTGGAAGGCGAGCTGTGTCCTCATTTGGCTACAAAACGGCGTAACTCGTGAGGTGCCTTTAAATCCTACCAAAAGAAGCGGGCTACTCGTTTCCGATGAGTTACTGCAGCATCCAACTATTTTAAGGGAACAGCCAAGCATCTGAAGAAGAATAATTACATACATAGATCCACGTGACCCATCTCCAAGCGTCAGCTGTTAGCAGCCACTTCCTTCTGCCGTCCTGCAGTCACAGGCTTCCCTCTCAGCCCAGCTATATCGGTCCGAAACCCCACAGCAGCGCTCACCCAGCCACCCAGCCGAGACTCAGCGTCGCCCGGGGCACTGTCCGACCTTGAGGCCGTGACCGCTACCCCTCACTGACCCGGCTCGGTCACCTGTTGGGCACAGAAGCCTCTGGGTCCACATAGGGCGCCGACCATGATCGCGGGACAACGGCGAGATGGTTGCCGAGGCATGAGCTCGAAGGACGCCATGGCCCTGGAAACCTGTTTGCTTGTGCTTTGTCTACCCAAGAACTTCATTTAGAATCTCGTCCCAGCCGATCGCAGATTGGAGCTTATTATTATTGCAAAATAAGGCGCTAATGGCCCCCAAGGCAGTGCCTGCGGGAATAAGCTCATCCACACCATTAACTCGGCAATCTATTGATCTCAGGCGCGTAAAAGCCGAAAGTGATGGGTGCTACT